TTACGATTTCCTGTTCAGATAGTCATAAAGTCTAACACGCCATAAGAGGAACAGGGATACAAATGTGCAGGTAAAAGCAGTTCATATCATTTCATTCCTGGAAACGATCCTTAGGAAAACATTCAAACAGAATCTTTGTGGTGGGATTTAAAACTCATGACGACTGCCAAAAATTTAACTAACGCTTTATCAGATGCTGGGATTAGCCTCTTTGCGAGCTACACACTATGAATAGCCCATGTCTCAGCATTCATCCTGGACTTTCTTCCCAGAGGGAGAAATATAATAGGAAGGTGCATTTCAAAACGAAATTCAGAATTTGATTGCTATATTCTCTGTTCAGTGCATATTGCTATCATTTCTGGTAAAATGTCCTAGTTAAGGGTTACAGTAAATTGATCACATAATACTACAAGAATTTATCATGTAATAGAAAAGGAATTTAAGAGCTGAATACCAAATATTATTAATAAAACAGGTCTGTGGATACAGACAGTTAGGGGATACAGTTTATATTATTACCTGATCCTACATTAAATGAAAGAGCTGGTAAAATCAGAATTGCAAGGACAAAGTAGACTCTCAATGGGATTTTTCAACTGGAAATTTCTGAGTGGGTAGCACAACAGTGGGTATTTACTCCCTGCACCTCTTCTGCCTCCAGAAACGGCCCATGAGCTTGGCTTCTCTCTTTGGATCAAAGTCCAAGCCCTTCTGTGCAGAGAGACTCTGCTGCCACCCTCTGTGGTACCTGAGATGATTCAAAACACTAACCCCAAGTAAAATGCCAACCCCTATAATTAAAGATTTAGGGACAAAGATCTCTAGTTGTGAAAGAACTGACACAATGAAAAACTATTAGGATATAATTAAATATGGAAACTAATATCAGTAACTCCAAGGTATTGCCACACAAGGAATTAAAGTGGTGTTGGTACATGAACGACTTCAGTATTGAAGTAGTAGCTACATTAACCAGCTTAACATCTTTTGAGGCTACATTTGAAAAATTATAAAAGAGAATGCATCTTAACTATGTGTTTATCTACCTCTGATCTAGTTCATTTTACAGACATCTTCCCCCCCCGCCCCAAGATATTTAAAGAAGTATATAGGTAAGGGAGAACAAACACCTAATGGTTTCCAGGTTGTTTATCATCTCTTAATCTGAAATTCAGTACAGGCACGTAACTGATTAATAGAGAATGATGTGTTTGGTCAAAATAACATATAATCCCTCAAGAGGCAGATACAATACTGAAAGCAAACAGCTTGTGAGAAGGATTTATATTAATTATTAACTGATAAAAAGCTATTTTCCCTGACCATACTTGTGGTTATTCAAGTCTATTTTATACCAGGGCAGATAGGATATTGTTCTTTTGCTCTCAACTCTGCGAGAGCAACCCCTGTTTATATAAGCACAGTTTCCTACCCTGCACACACAGCTACATTTCTCATTCACTACCTTAATATCCTTGCCTGTTAAACCATTGATCCAAGTGGTCATTAGGGAATGCAGAGGCTGAGTGCTTTAGCAGAGCAGCCAACATCAAATCAAGTTTTTTTGATTTTCTTTTTTTTTTAATCACAACATTCTCAGACCCAAATGTTGTCCCCAACAGTAGCAAAGCCACTCAGTTTTGGTGAAGGGGAAATCTACCCTTTCTCCAGGGCCTTCAGAAGGGGGCAGTTTTCTACCTTTTCTCCTCACCATCTCCACTAGCATTTTATTTATTTTTCTGTAACTCTGCCCATCAAACTAAATATGCTTCTCAAGCAGATGATTCCCATGCTACTGCTCTTTGCTGTATTCTGCATGGTGATGGTGTGGGGCCTCCACTGGCACTCTGCAACGGGTTATTCATCCAAACTGTTCATGAGAAATAGAATTTAGCTTTGAATCTTCTATTTTTCAGAAACAACAGAACTAAAATTAGCCATACAACTTTAACTTAGCTTTCTAGTTAAACTGCACCTGAAAATACTACTGTCATATGATCAAAATATTAGTCTGTCTTCGTGACCTAAAAAATATTCTCTTACACACAAGAAAAAAAAAATATCTCTCATCATTGTCACTGAAGAACAAGAACATTAGATCCTTATTCACCTAATTGGGGGATGGGTGAAAGAAAGTTGGGTTATTACAAGGTAACAGAGACTTCATAAGAAAAAATAACAAAAAAGGCAACTTAGTATCCAGACATATCCTAGTATGTCACTTGTGCAGAGTTACAGTTCTGTTTGTCAAAAGGTAAAATGTCTTCCCTTTACTACTTTAAAAAAAAAAAAAAAAAATCAGTGGTAGCAAAATGTATCTTAGCTATTTCTTGGGCAAGTAAAATCCTCCTGATTCACTTCACAATCCTTACCAATCTTCTGAAACAGGAATATGACGTTTTTTCAATCATCATTTTAATAGAGAAAATAGACGAGATCTGTTTCTCTTTATGAGTAAAAAAGGGAAGAGGGTGGTAGGGGAAGAGTCTGTAGTCTGTCATTTCTAATATCTTACTTCCCATGACAGTTGAGATTGTTTAGGTCAAGAATTTGGAAATTTGGGCTGCAAACCTCAGCATGCAAATAGAAGCTGCAAATACATAGAGGGAGGAGGTTACAGACATCACACTTCTTCCTTTCCTGTTTACACTTTTATTAAAGATGGAGTTCCAAAAAATTTTAATTAAGTGTCATTTGCACGGCTACCTGGCAAACTCAATGAACATGCTGAAATAATAGGGGATGTGGACTGGTGCATTTATTTCAATAAATGCCATATGGATTTTGGAATTCAGTAATCATGGATCTGGCACCTCTTTATAAGCTACTTGGGACAGATTGGAACATTTTTGCGAAATTGCTATAACCAGGTGCTTCTGCCTCATTGAAGCTAAACTACCTTTTACTATTCAGGTTTCCCATAAGGAGGACAGAATTGGAAATCAAGTATATATGGTCTACACTGACCCGTCTCTTGCCTGCCCCTCCCCGATTATTTCTTTATTAAGAAAGTCACACTGAAGGGCCTGTTACTTCCTAGCTACTCCAGTAGAAGATTCCGGAGTTGCACTTAGATAGTAAAAGCTGTAATGATATGTTACCTGGAAAGAAGACATCTGTCTTCATGAACTGAATTTCATAAGAGAAAGCTTAAGTTTATCAAAAAACAAGACTTGACATAGTACAAGTACAAACTCCCTATAAGCATCAGATTTATCCTAGAAATAGTTAAAAGCTGCTAAGAGACTTAACTCAGGATCAACGTGCAGAGTACATTAGGAAACATATCTACCCCGACAAGCAAAATCAAGACTTAACTCTCATTGAAATTTGTCAGAGACTCAGGTACCTGGGAACAGTCAGTTTTTAAATAGTTGAGGTCAATTATCCCTCACTAAGAGAGGGAATGCCAGCAGCTTCTACCCAACCTTTCCCGTTAGATCTCCATGCAGAAGAAGCAGCACTGATAAGGTTTGTTGGTTTTTTTTTTTTGTTACCATAACATTTGTAACATTACTGCAACATTTGGTATTCACCCTTAACATATAGCCGGGGAGAAGGGAATGACTTTGACTAGTATCTTTGGGTATATCATTCATCAGGAACTTCTGATAGCACAAAGTATTCTAACAGACAAAAAAAACCTTATGCCTGTTAAAAGCGTTAAGAGCAAGCTCAAGTGAAGTTTCCATACCAAATGCCAAAACTACATAACGCAGGGAACTGTGGCTAGACAATGTAAATTCAAACTTCATGCTTTATACTTCTAAGCAGTTTTAAACACTTATAGACAGTGTTCATATTCCCTTCGATACCGCAGAAATACTGACTCAGTCCTGAGGTCCACTGACATGGTGCTCTCTTTTAGGACTGACCACCACCACAGGTGCCAGAAGCAGGGACAACCCCGTTTAAGAAAGAGCAAGATAACTGCCACAGCTGTAGCTTTTAGAATATGTTCATCTGCAGATCTCCACAACTTCATTACTTCACTGACATGACGCCACACAAAAGGTTAACAAAGACCTCTTTTTGCAGTATTCATATACATTTCCCCCATCTTCCTCGACTACTCTCTTATCACAGTGCTCACTTTTGGGAAGACTAGCTTACAGATCTAAATATACACGAACACGTTACCTCTGCATTACAATACTCATTTTAAATGCCAGTGATAAGGTATGGTAGAAACTACCCTGATCAAGTTTTGTTCACAGAAACTGATTAAACATAAAAGAATGAAGAAAAAAAAAATGTTATCTAATAAAGAAGTTTGTTGTCCACTCACTTTTCTGTTCCACAAAATAAAAATAAAAATCATGTAACAGACTATGGAAAAGGGAAGAAAACCACACAGAACACCCTACATTTTACTGCAGTTTTCTTAGGAAATACTTGGATATTATCATATAATGTAGCAACTAATAAAGCCTTCTAATTTTAGAACTTTTCAATAAGCTTTCCAGTTGGCTTTCTCTCACCTTCGCTTAGACCCAGGGGCTAAGTCATGTACAAGAGCAATAGAAGCATGAAAGTGGCCACCAGAGCAGACAGCCCAATGAAGACAACCACTGCTAAATTAATCCTGAATTTGGTGTTTTCATGTTTGAAACTCCACCTTCCCTTTGAGCTTTTGGTCAGCCTCCAACAGTTAGAGACACAACTACCATAACCATATCTGAACTGTAATATTTCCTAAACAGAAAACTATTCCATATTTGAAACTGAAAGCATTTTCTTCATTTTATTAGGTGAGCAGCAATTACTAAAAAGGAAGACATTTCCTGCAGTGACCAGAATTGACAGCGCAGTGACAAGAAAGTACCAGGCCTCCCTGAAAGATTTCATATGCAGTCAGAAACAGTGTGATCAGCAGTCACAACAATGCTTGGTTTTCAATCCAAAGTGAGGTGCAGTTTTCTTGCCTTTCATATCAAACAGAGTTAAGCAGATTTGCTGGACTTCAGAAGTTTTCATGTTGCTTTTGTGTTCACACATTAGTGCTCTGCTTCTTTCCTCAGATATCCCTCTACTTCCACCTGCAAGTCAGTCCACACACTTAGGCCACTGACTTTAAAGTCTCCATCCCGTGCCTTCAGGAGATTCAGAGTAGCTTGAGTCTGTCCCCTGAGTAGTGCAGATCCCTGACAGAGGCAGCAGAAGCGCTCCCTCAGCTCCTCCCAGGACAATTCAGCTTCCTCAAGACAACTTTTAACCCACTGTCCCCGCAAAGGGTCATATAGCAAGTGGCTTCCCCAGCCGGTTAAGAGGTCCAAATAAGGTTTGCTTAACTGGGAATAGTGACCAGCTAGGGAGGCAAGAAGGGAGCCTGGGAGGAAAAGGCAGAAGGCAGAAAATCTCTCCAGGTTCCCCAGCAGCCAGGAAAGCAGGGGCCCAACAACGTATCCGTCTCCTGTTCCACTCGCCTGGTTTCCGTCTAGGCTGTTCCCATCCCGATCCCCGCCTCCGGCCTGCTCAGCGCCACTCCCCTGCCCCAGCAGCAGCAACGCCGCTGCCACCAGCTCGAAGGCCCGGGGCTGAGGGAGCTGCTCCAGGACACCGGAGAGCCAGCGCAGCCGCCCCGCGGCCTCCCCAGACGGCTCGGCCTCCTGCCCCTCCTCCCGCAGCCGGCTCAGCAGCAGCCCCCGAGCCGCCCCCCGTTTGCGGCTGCGCCCCCATCCCCCCCGGGGCCCGCGGCGGGCCGCGGGGCAGCGCCAGCAGGCCAGGCCCAGCAGCTGCGGGCAGCGTCCCAGGTGGGGGAAGCCGAGCAGAGGGCTCGGCTGACCCCGCCCCAGCCGGCGCCCCAGGGCCCCCCCGAGCCAAAAGGGCGGCGGGCGCCGCCCCCCCCCCCCCCCCCGCGGCCGCCGCCCCAGGGCCTCCCGGAGCCGAGGCCGGGTGCGGAAGCGGTCGTGGAGGTGCTGGAAATACCGGGCCCACTCTAGAGCCCTGTCCAGGGTCAGGGAGTCCCAGTCCCGCACCAGCGAGGAGCGGGAGACGGCCAGGAGCGCGGGCAGCTGCCCCACCTGCTCCAGCACGGCCTCCATCGCCGCCAGCCCCGGCCTTGGCGCCACCGGTTTGAGCAGAAGTCCCGCCTCCCGCCGGGAATCGCAGCCAATCCGAGCGGGGGAGGGAGGACATTTGTAACTCTATGGGCTGAATCTGACGTCAATCCGATGCGGATTGCTCTCCCCTTAAAGGAGACTTTGACCGCCCGCCTGCGTCAGTCACTTGTGTCTAATCCCTCAGCCAAGGGCGGGTGGGGGAAGCTGAGCCGAATTAAAGCATTAAAAACCGAGCAGGATTAAGAAGTTAAAAAAAAAAACCAAACAAACCACCAACTAAAAGGCTTAGAATAAACCTTAGAATAACGTTCTTAAATACCCCTTAAAAGAATAAAACTCTGCAAGAGCAAACATGCCCTGCCCACATTGGGGGGTATTTCCCGATTCCTGTAGTACGCCCCGTCCCTGGGGAGCCGCCGTGGCCGAGCTCAGCCCTGTCCCAAGAGAGCCGCCATGGCCGAGCTCAGCCCCGTCCCCAGGGCGCTGCCATGGCCAAGCTCAGCCCCATCCTCAGAGAGCTGCCATGGCCAAGCTCTAGTGTGGAGCCAGGCTGGCTCCCCAGTGCTGCCCACAGCTCGGCACCCTGCCAGGCTTGAACCCTGCTCAGCCCACGCAGCTGGGCTCGCCCTACTGACCTACCAACTAATGGCTTTGCAGCTCATTAATGGTTCCCCGGGGTACCCAGCCTTCCCTGGCTACCTGCGCTAGGCTTCTGGCTGCCTGCAGAGGTAATGGCCAACACCTGCCCTGGCTTTCTGGGCGCCGACACAGCCAGGGTTTCCCACATGGACGCTCCCCAGACAGCATGGTGGAAACGTGCTACAACTGCTCCTCTCTGTAGCGAGGAGAGGCAACCCCTTCTCCCTTTCCCGCCTCGGCCAGCTGAAGGACAGTTTTACATGGCAGGCTAGAGATATTAGGTGTAGCTTGCAGGATGCAGCCTACCTGTTGGAGCAACCGTTCTCAGGTGCTTTCCTCACATCTGTCGCCTCAAGGGCTTCTGCTCAGCTTTCCCTCCATCCTCGTCCCCATAACAGACCTGCCATGCTCAGCGTTCCCTCACGGTGTGGAAGGGAGCAGGCCGGCTGGCTTCTGGCAGCTTCCGCAGGCGCCCCCTGCTCCCCTGTTCCTGAGGGGGTGAAGCAGTGGCGGGAAAGCGGCGGGGCGCTGGAGCTGGTAGGTTTGGGAGTTGCTGAGTGCTCCTCAGGGAGTTCACGAGCCCCGTGGCACAATCCTGGCCACTGAGAGGGTATGGAGGCAGCGGAGAGGCCTGGTGAGCTCCCGGTGCCGTCGGCTGGGTCTGCAGCGGGGCTGCAGCAGTGCCCAGGGCGGGAGGAGGGCAGTCACTGGGGCTGGGCCTGGGGGGGGCACTCCTTCCTCACCCGCGCCTGGCAGGACGTGGCCCCGTGGCCCCATGGCCCACCCCTCCACTGACGGTGGTGAGGGACAACACAAATCCCGCTGCCAGCCTGCCTGAGCAACCACTTTGGTAAGGGCTTTCTGAAAGGCAAGAGCAACACCTGGCAGAGTAAAGGAGGTTTGACTGGAATTTATTGTGGAAACCAGCAACAGAAACCAAACTATAATGCTGTGAGCTACAATACTGTAGGGCAAACCATAATACTCTTCCTCTTATGCAGAACGCATGCTTTCTTCCATACATCTTCCTGCTGGAAATGGTTTCCTCAGAGTTTGTTATCTAAACGAACTACATTTTTGGGTGATGGAGTGAGAGTGCTATACACTCTCAGTAGCAAATATTCTTTAGCTCATATAGTAAGGGACACAACTCTTGTAGCCTCTGAGTTACACTAGACTTCAAACTAACATGGTTAGACAAGAAAGAGGGCCACAACTTTCTTCTACTGCCTTCTTTTACACTAAGGAAAACTGAAGCTG